CGCACGCGCTCGCGAGCGTTAGTTATGAAACGTAACACTCGACATAGCACGCGGGTCGCCTTTGTAACTGAGCTGTATTTATATAGAAGCTTACTGATAAACGGTGAATGAGTAGTCTCTGCAGCACATATCCGAGGTTTGGTCTTCAGTTCGAATTCCGGAGCTTCATATTTTTCTGGTGGATACTCTTTGTTCTCCTTGAGCCACGAGGGTCCATTCCACCATAGGGAATACGATAATAGTTGAGATGGTGAAAGTCCTCGCGTGGCACAATCAGCTGCATTATGCTCTGATTTAGTATGCCTCCAGCAGGATGATGGTATGACCTTAATTATTTCATTCACTCTGTTCGCCACGTATGTTTTCCATCTTGCAGTATTGCCATGAATCCAGCCCAAGACAACCATTGAGTCCGGCCAGCCATGAATTTGTAATTTGTCCTGAGCTAATGACATCGAAACAATAACCTTTTGCATCAATTTAGATAACAAAACAGCTCCACATAATTCCAGCCGTGGCAATGTAATACGTTTCTTCTGTGGGGCTAGCTTTGTTTTCGCTGCTATGAGATGTATCCTGGGTTTCTTATGCTCATTATAGGTTTTGATGTAAATTACGGCCGCATAAGCCCTTTCTGAGGCATCTGCGAAGCCGTGTAGCTGTACTAAATATTGAGTATTGCCGACCCATCTCGGAATTTTAATTTTACTTATGTTCTTTAATTCTTCCTTTAGTTTACTCCACTTGTGTTGAATATCTGGTGACAATAATTGGTCCCATTCCGTATGCTCACTCCAAAGTCGTTGAAATAGCAGTTTTGCTTTAATTGTACTCGGAGATAACCAACCGAGCGGGTCGAAAAGCTTCGATATGTTTGACAGCATGGAGCGTTTTGTGTCGGGCTTTTGCGTGTTCTCAATCTTATTGTCAAATGTAAAAATATCAGAGGATGGATGCCAACGCAACCCTAATGCCTTAGTTGATGATGATGAGCTGTCGTTGAAGTTGACAGTAGAGACATTAATTTGGTCGTTAGATAAATCTTCCAGGAGTCTGGGTTCATTGCTGGACCATTTTCTCAAGTTGAAACCGCCTCCTCGTAATATATCAATTAATTGGCGTTGCGCTTGTTTTGCTTCCTCGATCTTGTTGCTACCATATATCAAATCATCAACATAGAATCTCTTCTTCAAGATCTCAGCTGCTATAGGGTAAACGTCAGCGTCATCACTTGCTAACTGCTGCATCGTTCTGAGAGCCAAGTAAGGTGCAGCTTTCATACCATATGTGACGGTGCATAATTGAAATTCTTGCATAGTGCCTTGTTCGTTCCGCCATATAATCTTCTGGAGTTGCTGGTCATCCTCTTGTACCTTGATCATACGATACATCTTTTCACAATCTGCTGTATATACGTATTTGTAAGCACGCCAACTTAATAATAATTCCAGTATATCACGTTGCAGTTTAGGGCCGCACTCCATTAAGTCATTCAAGCTAAAGCCAGTCGATGTTTTTTCCGATGCATTAAAAACAGCTCGTAATTTGGTAGTGTTAGAGTCAAATTTTAGGACGCCGTGATGTGGTAAATAACATTCTAGAGATTTAGTCTCCACTGCCGGTTTCATATGGTTCATTGCAATATACTCATTCATGAAATGGTTGTACTTTTCACATAGCTGCGGATCTTTTCCTAGCTTTCGCTCTAATTGCTTGAACTGTGCGACTGCCTTTAGTTTTGAGTTACCTAACTGCCTTTCAAAGCCTTTCTTCATGGGTAAACGTACTTCATACACTCCACTTGATAATCTTTTAGTCGTTTTGACATAATAATCTTCACAAAATTGCTCTTCTAAAGTTAATGAGCGTTCATGTTCCGATATGTCTTCCATTTCCCAATAATTGCAAATGTCTTCGATATTATTGATAGTAAAATAACAGTTGAATGTTTTCGTCGTAGAACCAGACAATATCCAACCCATTTGTGTTTGCTGTGCTATTGGTTGGCATGGTGAACCTTTTAACAGCCCATCCATGATGATTTCAGCATAAACTTTAGCGTCTAAAAGAATATCAATAGGCTTCGATATATTGTATTCAGGATCCGCTAATTGCAAGTGTTGTATGTGTGGCCAATTTTTGTTCTCGAATGACGTCACAGGTAGGCAGTTAATAACTTTTCATACACCAATTATAGCAAATAGAAAGCTTGATAAAACTTTGCTTGGAATCAAAGAAATATTACATTACAGTCGTCAGTTTCTCTAAAATTGATCCAAATAGTAGATCTCCTGCCACTCATTTTCGTCACATACTTATCAATTTTCACTAAGAATACTTTTTTTCTCACAAAGTAATAACAAAATAACATAAAAACATAACATAAACACTCACGCCTGTCACCCAGAGGGGTAGGCAGAGACTAAAGACTTCCATTTGGCACGATCCTGACACACCTCTCTCGCCTCCTTCACATCCATACACCTACGCATACATGCTCGTCGGTTAAGGGTACTCCTAATTTGGCCCATTTTCAATAAATCGCCAATTTGGTCGATAAATTTTCACCTAGGACGTCCCTTTCCGACTCTGCCATTCACTTCTGCAACATAAATTTTCTTTGTCACTCTTTCCTCATTCATTCTTTCCACATGACCAAACCACCGAAGCATTCCTTTCTTATTCCTGGTCACAACATCATCTTGCAAACCACACTCTTCTCTTATTACACAATTTCTTACGCTTTTTTTTTTTTGCGGATGGAAAATCATCTAATGACCCCTTTCGCTCTGGGTGGAGCGTAAGGGAGTGTCAGACTTTTACTGACTAAAAACCATCCGTGTTCCTTCAGTGCCCTTACGTTCCGGAGCCGCGGTATCTCTTTCGAATAGCCCGCAGCCCCGGCAGGCGTCGGCCCTTGCAGGCCCCATCACGCTGCTGACAGCTCTTTGAGGCGCGCGTGGAACAAAACGCGCCGTCGACACGGCCTGTCGTCGTTAGACGGACGGACGACGAGCTACCCATTGCTCGCCGTCCACAGGCCCGCGCCTACGGTGGCCGGGGGCCACGACGTAGCCCCCGACGCCCGGGGCGTCTCCCGCGGCGGCCGGGGAGGAAAGCTGCTGCTCTTTCCTTCTCCCGCTCCGCCACCTCCTTCGCTAGCATCACTGCTTCGCAGAAGGTGGTGACGGCATCCCATTCCATCTCGCTCCGGACCATGGCTTCGACCAGGGCCGGACGCGAGAGGTCGCCGCCGCCTATCGCCGCTACGAGGACACGGCGGTGCTCCGCCCAAGCAGGGCACACCTCCACGGTGTGTTCCACCGTGTCCTCCGGTCCATCCTCGCAGTGGGAGCACCCGGGCGTTTCCTCCCGCCCGATTCGGTGCAGGAACCTCCCGAACACACCGTGTCCGGTGAGGACCTGAGTCAGGCGGAAGGTGAGGATGCCGTGGCGTCTCTCAAGCCACTCCTCAAAGAGGGGTCTTATCGCCGCTATAGTGGCGTGCCCAGCACGGGGTTGCGACAGTCGCTCTCTCCATGTCGCCATGAGATCGTGCCGGAAGTCTGTCCGCTGCGCGACAACTTGCCGCGGCATTCGTGCAGGCGTGCGAGGACTACCGCCTCCAGATCCCATGGCGGCAATCCGGCAAGGAGGCTCGCTGCCTCGCGGGAGATCGTGCGGTAGCCGCGAACCATTTTCAACACGGCGACCACCCTTTGGGGCGCGTTCAGGTGGTGGACGGCAAGCCGCGCCAAACCACGCGCCCACACCGGGGCCCCGTAAAGGGCCATGGATCGCACGATCCCCGCGTAGAACAATTTCTTACCCTGTGGTTCAGATTCAGCCCTAACATCTCCTTAACGACCGCATTTCTACTGCGTTGATTATACTCTCGTGCTTCTTCTGCCACACCCAACTTTCACTACCATACGTTAAAGTAGGGACCAACACAGCATTGTGAATTGCCATACGTGCCTTTTTTGACACATTTTGACTCTTCACCATAGAGTGCAGGGCCCCATTTACTCTATTTCCCGCCCCATTTACTATATTTCTATTTAATAACAAAATAGTCAAATCATAAGCATGTGCCGGCAATTTGCTCAGTACTGGATGATGCAATAACATGTCTAGTGTGGCGGGGGAGCGAGAGGAAGGCTCTGGCGCTAATCCTGCGCGCTTTACGGTAACAAGTTTCGACATAAATTGGTTAGGTACCGAGGTAATCCTGCCGAATAATGTTCGGCCGAATATTCGGTTCGGTAAAAATTTTACCGAACGTTCGGCCGAATATTCGTATTCGGTGAAATCCATATTCAGCCCATCCCTAGTAAACACTAGGAACAAACACAAGCTGGTGCTACCAGTTTTTCGACTCCACAGAGTCAATAATTCATTCTTGGGGCAATGTATACGCTATTACAACAAAGTCCCAGAAAATATACAAGGTCTCTCTATTACCAAGTTTAAATATTTAATTAAACAAAAACTGTATATAAAGGGTTATGGTTATTATGATATAAATGAATTGAAAGTTTAATGATAGTTGATATTAACCCCTGATAATGAGGTGGTCGCTTCCAAGCTGTTTCTAAAATAAATTTTGTAAATATTCTGTGACCCTTGACACTGTAAAATTTATTTAAAAAAAGAAGTCCCGCTGGGTTTCTTGCTGGTTCTTTCCAGGACAGAGGTTTTTTTCCAACCAGTGGTAACGTAAAATATTGACTTTCAATAAGAATTACTTGTAATCTATATTGAATAAAAAATTATTTTATTTTATTTATTTATTTTATTTTTATTAAAGTTGGTAAGAATTTATTTATTTTATTACCAATAACTCCTACCAACTTTTTTTGATCCATAATTCTCTAAATTGTTAAATGACGCCTGTGACCAAAAGTGAAATGTATACAAGCTGTGGCTTCTACTCTCCACTACAGCTCGGAGATGGTATGTGTTTAACAATAATGGACAGTAAAAATTTGAATTGGCAGGGTGACATCTGGGCGGAGTCGAGTATGATGGGTCTGCTGGTGATGTACTACGCGTGTATGGACAGTGCCGTGTACCAGATTACACAGTGGGCCAGTTGCCAGGTACTAATTTTTTTTCATCATCATCAGATAGGAGGTGTGCTCGTTTTACATCCGTACCCTCTAAAAAATTTACGGAGCTCCACGCTGTTCAGTTACAGTTGATAGCAATGTTAAACGCATATAAATGTAGGTTTTATGTGTATGGAATATATTGCACATAATATAACATACGGATTAGTAAGCTGAAGTGGATGGAGTGGAGCAGAGAACCGACAAATGATAGTTTTTTTTTATAGAATAGGATGACAAACGAGCACACAGTCCATCTGATGTTCTGATGGTAAGTGGTTGCTGTGGCCCATAGACATCTCATCTATCCTCGATTATGAATCAAAATGCAGATGCGTTGTCATCCGTGAGGACAAGATGGAATGCCTCGTTTCCACTAAAAGGGTCTCCGGTTCTCTAATTTACCATTCGAAACACAGCAGCATTAAGCTACTATTTGACACTGGTATTCTGTGAGAGCGTGGTCCTTCCCCGGTCGAGCCGACCCATTCATGCTGCTACAACTATACCACTAATATAACTGCAACATGGCTCTACCACGCACAAATTAAAAAATTAATTATTTACTTTGTTTTTTTTTTTTATATAAAATAGAGGCGACAACCTGATGGTAAGTGGATGCTGTGGCCCATAGACGTATACATTCTCCTCAATTAAGAATCAAAATGCGAATGCGTTGTCAGTCCTGAGGACTAAGATGAGCCTTGATTCCAGTAAAAAGGGTTTCCGGTATTCTACACTAACCATACGAAACACAGCGGCATTTAGGTGATATTTCATGCTATTATTCTCTGAGAGCATGGCCCGGTCAAACCGACCCATTCGTGCTACAACCATAATATAGCTGCAGCGGTGCTCTACCACGTGTACTGTTTGTTGAACTTCAATGCTTTTTCAATAGTTTTTTAAATATAGTAAAACCACACTGCAGCTATATTATGATTTGGAGCAAGAATGGGTAAACTTGATTAAGCAATCACCATACTCAATAGCTTCTAAATAAGAAGTCTAATAGCTTCGACTAGATTTCGAATTCACAACCCACGCATTCAAATACGCCGACCAGTAACACTGTACCACTGGACTATTTATTAAAAAGATCAATAATAATTTTTTAACACTTTCACTGTCCAGTTTTCAGACCCAATAGTAAGTATAAGTAACAATAAGCATTTACCGATATGTAGTCTATGGGACAGTGAAAGGGTTAATATTATACAACCTCTATTACCGTGTAGTGGCAGTGTATAGTGTATGGTACTACCAGTTTCTAGACTCCACAGAGTCAGTAATTCATTCTTGGGGCAATGTATACGCTATTACAACAAAGTCCCAGAAAATATACAACTTCTATTACCAAGTTTAAATAATTACACAAAATCTGTACAAAAAGGATTATTATGATATGAATGAATACATGGTTGATAATAAGCACTGGGAATGAGGTGGTACCTTCCAAGCTGTTTCTAAAATAATTTTTGTAAATATTTTGTGACCCTTGACATTGTAAATTTATTTAAAAAAAAGTCCCTCTGGATTTCTTGCTGGTTCTTCCCAGGACAGAGGTTTTTTTTTTCCAACCAGTGGTAACGTAAAATATTGACTTTCAATAAGAATTACTTGTAATCTATATTGAATAAAAAATTATTCTATTCTATGAATATCCACTACCCCCATATCTTCCATAATTGCCGTAAGAGCCGACAGGGGGAAACTGAATCAGAAGATTATCATCGGTTTCTCTCTGATAACAACTCAAAATTACAAAATAACCACCTACAAAGCATCCTGAACGGTATGAGGCTATCTATAGGGAGCGCCTATGTTCAGGAATGGACTTTATGGGCTATATGGTATGGTGATGTATATTGGTGGTGAATGACCCTTCTCAAAAATTAATCTATGCCCTGCAGCAGGTACATATATAAGTCGTACACAACTTATCCTTTTTGTATTATTTTAATATAGAAAAAGAACCTGAAGCAGTTGAGGCCGGACTGCCATGTGGTGCAGTATCGTATTGTACTTGGCAACAAAGCGGCCGACGTCAACCAGAGAACTTCTACAGGGTAAGTCAGTGTATAAAATTCTTTTGAACTATTTCACGCACACTGAAACTGCCTAACACGGTTATCAGTTATCAGGTGCACTGTACATGATATAGTAGCGCAAATATACGCGAAGTCGCTCGATTATATGTCCGCAGTAAAATCAGAGTAACTGACATAGCTCAACGGATCAGTAAGCTAAAGTGAACCGATAACCAATGGGGAAGAAAGGTTCTCGAATGGCAGCCTTGTACCGGTGAAGTGAGGTCCTCGTAAGAGATATCAGATACTGAAAAGAGAGTAACTTGGTGGTATTCCTTCGGATAGGCCTATTTTCGACTCAAATCCAAGACCCTTATCAAGTATCTTTATCTTACAACAGACCTTCTTCATTAACCTATGACATTCAAATACTGAACATATGTCTCTCCTTATGTAGGTAAGATTTGCCTTTATCATTACGCTTGGAAGATGGATTAATGACCGCAGTAAGAGACGCTCTGCATCTTTGACGCTGCTGTCCGTCGCTAGTCTGGACATTCAATGCCTGGCCTTAAGAGACACCGTCTAGTGCGGTAAAAGAATATCCACAGCCCTATGAACCAGGCGATGAGCACCAGCATGTTTCCGATAACAGCTGAATAAAAATATAAAACTGCCAACCCACTACGTTCAGCAATGGACTGTTATACTAAACATTAATCTGCGGATTCCTGTACGATGATAATAAGCTACTAAAGAACATGTCTTATAAAATAATAATATTTCAATACGCATTGGAGTAGCGCAAATTTTTTAAGAATACCTTTTTTATATGATAAGAGTGACAAACGAGCGCGCAGTCCACCTGATGGCTGGTAAATGGGTACTGTGGCCCATAGACATCTACATCTATTCTCTATTACGAAGTAAAATGCAGATAAGTTGTCACCCATGAGGACTAAGGTGGAATGCCTCATTTCGAGTAAAAAGGGTCACCGTTTCTCTACACTTACCATACGAAACAGCAGTTTTGTGCTGCGATTTTACGCTGGTATTCGGTGAGAACGTGGTCCTTCCCCTGTCGAGCAGACCCATTTGTGCTACAACTATATACTACTTATATAGCTGCCGCATGGCTCTACCACGTATAAAATACTAGTAATGCTGTAATGTAAACGTAAAAATGTTCGATTTTCCCAGTTTGTAGTCCCCATCCTCAACCGTTAGGCTACTGTCACTTGTTTCTGTAGTAAAATCTTGCTTGTGCTCAAAAAACAGGCATAGGTAGGCTGTTATTTTACTTTTTTATTATCTGTTGCGATTACGATTGTCTTTTTTTAACAGAAACGTTATCCCATCAACACTGGGATTTTATCATGTAGATTGTGATGAAGTTTATATACATAAATTGCACAAGGACAAACATAGAAATAATTGTTCCATGCGGGGTTCGAAGCCGCAAATCTCAGCGGTGCAACTCAAATGCTAAGCCAATGCGCCACGGAGTTGTCGGTTGTAAATTATTAATATGTAAACAAACTAAAATAAATCAACACGTGTTAATGCTATAAGAGAATCTATCACAAAACATAATTTCTTTCCATGTGGTAGAAGGTAACTGCGGGAAAACCACTGACATTATCCACAATATATCGAAAATATGGAGTGTAGAGATAAGAAGGACTATGGCTATGGCCGACAAGATGAAAAAGTGTCAGGTTGTAAGTTGTAAATAACAGTTTAAAAACCTTCCCGAATGGCACTATAAATAGCTATAATATATACTATAATATATAAAATATAATAGATATAATAACTATAAATAATCATAGCTTAGATACAGGGTATGGTAAGAATGTAGCAGTTGTCAGTTGTAGATGGCTTGAAGTGTGCCCAGTAAAAAAATGTAATATTTTTAAAAGAGTTTTTTTATGGCAATAAAAATATTTTCAAAACGTTTTCATGATTTATTTTAATACTTTTTTCATCCAAAAATTGACACTTGTTATTTTTTTATCATTTTGTTCTTGATGAACTCTAATTTTGAAAATGGAATTATTTTTGTTTAATAATTAAATTAATTTAAAAATAAAAATTATTAATTTAAATTTTACCCTGCTATTATAGCGTCACTCTAATTTAAGGCATTTCGACGGACACTTTTATGCACAGAGATAGTCCTACTTGCCTCTGCCCTCCATAAACGAAAGTAAAAAAAAAAATTGTGACCAATAGATGGAGGTACCATCTCGTTTACACCAGACTTAAAATACCAAGACCGGCGACGTCCAGCTGTGTCAAAGGGTCATATCATCACTACAACAGGAGACACCCTCGTCCAGCAGTGGACCTTTAAGTTACTGTACTTTACTGTTTCACACCAGAGTAACGAAGCACTTCATTCTTTCAGACATGATCCCAACTTAGAAGAGTTTCTAAACAACTTGTACGGCAAGTCCGGGGTGCCGCCAAGTACTCCAAGCAATGCAAAACAACCCGCCCCCGACTCCAATGTGGACTCCAAAAAACGACGCAATAAAAAACCCAAAGCCTGAACAAAACTGCACTCCATAAATAACAACAGGAATATTCGACGCGCCGGACGTCAGTAACTCTATTATACTTTTAAAATGACACTATAAAATCTTAACATGTTGTAGTTTTTTATAAATGTGGTTAAAAAAAAACATAAAATGATAGTTTTTGTGTGTTTAGTAGATATTAGTAACATATTTTAATTAATTCATTTCAAATTTTTCTGGTATATCTATTGCTGCGTCCGTTGCATCCGCATTATAATCTGTGAAAATCTGCCTTTAAAATTTTCTATAGTACAACTGTTTAACTTAGTTAATAAACATTATAAATAACAGTCAAAATTATTTTGCGTGAAATAAAAGTAACAAAAAATATGTTCTAATTTACTGTTCTTATAGATTACGATGTAATTTTATATTGTGACAACAATGAGGGCTTATAATTTTCCGCTCACTAGATGTCGTTGGTTGGGACCGAGGTGAAGTCATTTGTTTCAGTGTCGCTGAAAGGTTATGCTTCAAATAAAAATGTTTCCGTTTTCAGTGTATGTAGTGTTTCAAAAAACAATGCCTCCATGTTTGCTCTTTGATTTTTGCACATTTTTCATTTTTTTTATTCGTTACTTTAGGTTTATCAATTTCCAATTAATATAATATATAATTAATATTTCAGAAAAAAATATTAACCTTTGTTTTCATAACAATTTAACTTCCCCTCCATGAAATCGGTCAAATGCTTCACCTCATACCAAAATGGCCCATAGGCAGAAAAAGTTGTGGATGCCTTCATTGTCTTTGCTCTATTTTATATTATCTCTGACTCATTTCCACAGACAAGCAAATAATGATTTTGTTGTTGAATTGCAACGGTCACGTCATCAGTGACCTTATATAGTGTATAATAGCGTATGTTTAACATTTTTCTGCACGCTATAATTGTTTTGCTGGAACATAAGTTTTAACCGTATTGTTAAGTACTCTTTAATTTTTAACTTTTGTATTTTTTGCTCCACTGATTAAATCTGATCGTAATTCGCGAATATACATGTATATTTGTATTAAATTTTTACATTTCTTTGTAATTTTCAATTTTATGATAATTATCTTAATTTCTCAAGCAATTTCAATTTTTTTTCAAGTGACTTTGTAAGTAGTGTATACTAAAACATAATTTTATATACAAATGAGATTAATCCTTTATTGTATCAGTAAAGGTCGATTTTTCAATACTCGGATGAAAATTATTCTTTGGATTAAATACACCATGAACAAATTAACATTGACAGGTTGTACGAATAAAGTAGTTCAATTGTTTAACTTTTATATTTGCACATATTTGTCATTATTAATACGACGCTTACCGCGTGACGCCAACAGTGCGTGCATATATACCTATAATTGCAAGTGAAAAAATATTATCAAGAAGAAAAAAAACTCAGTCAGCTGACATCCCGCCATATGTGCATTAGTGTTGCCACCTGTGCGTTCAAAAAGTGCTAGCGCCCCCGCCATATTTGAATATAGTTCGAAAAAGCGCGGTGTTTCCCTAGAGAATATTATTGACCAAGCATGGTATCTTAAAGACTCCCCCCCTCCCCACTAAATGGGTCACGTAGTATGTGTACTTTCTCTTATCTGAAAATTGAAAAATCTGCCTTAAATTGACTAAAGTTCTATTAACAAAAACGCTTGCCTTAGTCATTAGAAAGTAAAAACTCAAATTAAATTTGTGAGATTTTGTTTGCAGTACAGTTGTAACTTTGTATATTTTAAGAAATGGAGATTGAAGCGTTCCATTATAGTGTTTAATTCAATATGAATAAAGCTCATATTATTAGCACTTTATACTTTTGTTAGCTTTAGAAAGTTCTAACGCTTCTTTCTCCATTCAGTGTTGATATGACACCGAAGAGTACAATTTCGTTTGCAATATAAAATATTAAGCTAAAATATCTACGTGATCAAGTTAATTTTTAGTTGAAAATACGACAGAAATCATATATTTAGATTATCAGCTAAAAGTTTATTTTATCAAAAAGAAATCTATTTTAAATAATAATTTTCTAGTTGAAACCAAACTATACTAGAGATTTTAAATCGCATGTAAAAAATAAACAAATTTTTCAAAATGTAAGTCGGCCTTCACATTTCTTTTTTGTTACCATTTGTATTGTGAAGTTGACAAGATAGTTTAAAAGTTTTCTGAATGATCCGTGATCGCTTGCTCATAGAGAATTGAAATTTTAATATTCAATGTACATCTCAGACCAACAAATAAAGATAGAAGGAACACCACGCAATTTCGAAATTGCTTGTGTGACGCCCAAAACATGCCCAACTTCTTAACACGTCTTTTTTCTTTTTTCTTTTTAAGGCCCCAAGAGCGGCGACTGAAATGCCAATTCTTTTGGATATTTAAGTAAACATATCACATTAACTGTTAATTTAACCCGTAAAGTAAAATGACTTATAGAATGACAGATAAAGATTCGATAAATGTTACTAATTGAATAAAATTGTATTTTTGTCAACCACTTTTCAGAAATAAATTCCCAAAAGAGTATCTACTTTTATCATAATTTACAATATTTCTCTAAAACGGCACAAGCTCCTTCGTTAGTTTTTACACAAAAAAGGGTCTTTAAAATACACTAGCCATCAAAAAAATCGGCCCACCTGCATTTTTGCCGCAAATCACGTTTTTCTAAACCAGAACCAATCAAAACGTTTAAGTACTGAAATGTTTTATTTAACTTGTTTATTTACACCAATTTAATCACAGTTACACATCAAAATGATTTTTTGAAAGTAATTTTCATTTAAAAACCAAAATCTTTAATTTTTCACGATTATTTTTATTAATTTTCAATACGCTCTAGTTTTTATGTATTGAATTTTATGTACACAATTGTGGCAATTTAATATTGCGTATTCCCTCCTCTTACTCGAATGACAGCCTGCATTCGCCGTTTTAATGACCTTATCAAGATTTTGATGGTCTCTTGAGGGATTCGGTTCCATTCCTCCCTAATGGCGGTTTCAAGGTCCCTAATATTGTAGGGACTGGATTACGGGCTCTAACCTTTTGTTTTAGGGTGTCCCACATGTGCTCTATAGGGTTGAGATCAGGGCTTCTTGCTGGCCACGACATAACCCAAATGCTGACCTCTTCAAGATAATAGGTTGTGATGCGCGCTACGTGTGGTCGTGCATTATCATGCATTAATTTAAAGGCCTCCAATATAGCCGGCGTATGGCACCACGTGGTCTTCTAAGATTCTCTGTGATGTAGCGTGCTGCAGTTAAAGCACCTCTTCGTATGAAAACAAGCTCAGTGCGTCCAGTCAAAGATATCCCAGCCCAAAACATTACAGAGCCTCCACCATAACTGACAGTTTCTCTTATGCAACACTGGGTATAACGCTCACCTGGTCGTCGCATGACATTAAGGCGTCCGTCAGAACCGTATAAAGTCATTCGACTCTCATCACTAAAACTGACTCCCATTGGCCTATAGTCCAGTTGATGTGAATTAAGTCTGGCTTGTCGATGAGCTGTGGTCAATTTTGGTCTTGTTGCTGGCTTGTGAGGTCTTAAATTCTGCTCACGAAGTCTCCTTCTCACAGTACTATCACTTACAGCTACACCTCGATCTTCACGTAAGCGTCGCTGGAGATCAACACCAGATAGGTGCCGATTTCGTAGAGCTGATAACACTATAAATCGGTCATCCCTTTGAGTTGTCACCCTATGTCTTCCAGATCCAGATCTTCTTCGATACTGCCCAGTCTCCAGAAACCTTTGGTAAACTCTTCGCACTGCAGAACGGCTCAGATTTGACCTCCTGGCCACGACACGTTGACTTAAGCCTTGTTGCAGCAAAGCCACAACTTGGGCCGCCTCAGCTTCAGTAGTGTCCATTATTTTTAGACAAAGTAATCAAAGCTACAGCCTCAGTAAATAAACTTAACGTTATTAACGAGAAATCCTTACAAAAGTCTGTGTCGGACTGAAATAACGGTTCGAATTTGTTCCGACGTAAAACAACGAAATCAGTATTTCTGTATAAAACATTGTAAAGTACCTTCAAGTGCAATAAGATTTACGACAAACAAAGTGTCAAACATCATATCCGACCCTCAAAATAAAAAAACAAATGTGTGAAACAGCTTTTAAGTGAAACAATCGATAAATTTCAAACAAAAAATGGGTGGGTCGATTTTTTTGATGACCAGTATATATTGTTAATTGAATTTTACTCGTGAAATTATTCATTTTCGCCGGAATTGAATATTCGCTCGAGCGTGTCTGTTTCGACGCCATGTAATCTCTAAGAACGCTGCGGCCTCCGTTTCGTCAAGCTCATCCAGGCTTCTTAAAGCCCTACTTAAAAGACCATTAAAGACCTCTGCTGTACGCACACATGCACCTAAAAGCATGGTTGTTGGTTGAAAATTATTTTGGATGCAAAAGAGTGCATGAGTGCGTGTTCTTGCGATAAGCTTATTGCAAGAACATGCACTCATGCACTCTTGTGCATCCAAAAGCTGAGCATAATTTTCGGCTTGGTTTCGGCATCGCTTGAAAAGTGCGCAGCGCTCCGTTTATCTTTTTTTGCTGTTTTGAAAATATACACATGCATTTTATAAATATAATCGTTGAAAATGATTCAAATAAAACAATCCAACTATTTACCAAACCGGAAATCAGAAAACTTTTAAGTGATGCTTAGAACACAAACACTTATAAAAACATTTTTACACAAAGTTACTCAAAGGAAACGAAATGAATTAAAAACTTCAAATGTGAACCAGTCAAAACTTGGACAGTGTTTTTTAATGTTTGTTATAATTGTTTTATTTTTTAATTTTTAAAGTTCTAAATAAAATAAGAACAAGTTGAACATTTAAAATAATATTAGTTGAACTAATATATGTTCTCATTGGAATATACTACTATCACACAATTATGTAATATTAGTTTACTACTTTTGGATTATTCTCTGGTCAACCATTTTG